GTCGAGCTTCACCACCTTGCCATTGTTTTTGTCAGGCAGCTCTACACACACACTTGTTACACAGCTGTTTTGTGGCCTTTTGGTTGGTAATTAAACGTTCAAGATGAGCTCCGGAAGCAGTACGAAAGGAATGCTACGACAGAGTGGAAAACGCGATGCGAGTGACTTATGGGACGAAATCGCCAATGATTACTTGGATATGCTTCACTAATGCTCGAACATTACGCATTGTGCGACAAGGTAGCGTGCACGTGAGCTTAACTGACTACTGATAATACCCACACTCTTTGTCGTGATAAGAAAACGGCTACGTGACCGAAAATCTTGAAACAGCATATGCGAACGAATGTGAAATATGTGTATTTAATGCCGACACGTTGTAGTGCGTAAGAATGATGAGCATGCTCAAGAGTTCATCTTTCAGTAGTCTAGGTGGCCATATTAGGATAGATCGCGCTCTTCCTAAAATATACGTGCCCTGGTTCTGTAATAGTTCGTGCTTGCTTTTTTTTTTTTCACGCTCATTGGAACATATTGCGGTTGCAGCTATATACAGTGGAATCTCGATGAGACGAATCTCACGGGGTCACGGAAAATATTCGTATTAGCCGAAATTCGTATCATCAAAACAAATAAAACTAGCTAAATTAACAAAGAGTCAGACGTGAACTCATCCAGGCACAAGTACGTAATAAGCATTTATTTCTTGATGAAAAAGTCTCTGATGTCCTTCTACCTCTTTTTCTTCGCCAGGTCACCTAGCAGACTTTGACCGAAAGCATCACAACGCCTGCATGTGTCGTCGCTGACTTCATCCGCGGCCACAGCGCGCCTCAGAACGTCGAGCGCGTGCAGTGTTTCAGCCGGCGGTGGTGGTCCTTGGGGACTCGCTTGCTGGATTTCGGGCTGACCGGTCGCGAGCTCGCGCGCTCCGCGCGCTTGCGACCTCTGGCGTCATCGTGGCTCTCGCCGACTGGGCTCGCCCTACGTCACCTCCTGCCGCTGACGACCTTCCACCTCCGACGACAGTGCAGCTCTGACTTACTGGACTTGCTCTACGCCATCCACCGACGCCGAAAGGAGCTCTCGCAGGTGCGCCCCGTCCTCGGACTCCAGTGACCGTGCTTCATCTTTCCTATCTCTTCTATCCCCTCATCTTGTCGTCGCTCGCTCTGGCTCACCACCTCACGTGTCTTCTTCTCTTCTCCTTCTTCGGCTTTCCTACATCTTTACTCCTATCCTTTTTATTCCTCCTCACCCCCATCCCTCGTGAGCTACTGTGGCGGTGTCGCTCACTGAAGCAGACAATAACGGGGCTCACTTTTCTCTTCTTTTCCCTTTTTAAGAGTCACTTCGTCGGTGGTGGTCCTTCGCCGTCGACCACGTCTATGTCATCGCCATCATCATTGGAATCGGCAGCCCCGCACATGGCCTCCTCAACAATATCTTCGACCGTGCGCGCACCACTGGTGGCGAGATTGTCATCTGCTGTGTAAAAATCATCAGATGTGCCCTCTACGTTGAGCTGTTCCCAGTCCTCAATTGTAGGATCCTCCGGCTCTGGGGGCACCTCTTCTGGACTCTCGAAGAAGCCGCATTTGCCGAAGCAGTTTGCTACGGTAGTCGGAGTTACCCGATCCCATGCCATAGCTATAAAATGGATGGCGTCCAAGAGGCTTATTCTCAGGTCACCTTCGTCCTTTTGGCCAATTTTTGCGAGTAGGCGACGCACAAGAAGGCTCTTAAAATGGTGCTTCACATTCTTAATAATTCCAGCGTCAAGGGGTTGCAGGTGCGTTGTCGCATTTGCGGCTAAAAAGACGAGTTTGACGTTCTGAAGCGTTACTTGCCTCGGGTGGGCGGCGCACTGGTCAAGAAAAAGAAGAATCATCCGACTCTTACAAGCCATCCTCCTGTCAAGGAGTGACAGAAACTCTTCAAATAACGCCGCCGTCATCCACGCCTTTTTGTTTGCGCGACAGACGCACGGTAAATGACTCTCGCGCTTGAAGCACCGGGGCTTTTGAAACTTTCTAATTACGGTCAGCTTAAGCTTTTCCGATCTGTCGGCGTTACAGCACAAGAGCACAGTAATACGTTCTTTGCTTTTTTTGCCTCCTCTGCATGCTTCGCCTTTTAAACAGAGGCTCTTTTCGGGTTGCAGGTTAAAAAAGAGACCTGCCTCATCAGCATTAAAAACATCACGAGGCTCATACCCTGCAATGAGTGATGGCAGCTTCTCTAACCAGTTGCTGACAACTGCCTCATCAGCTTTTTTCGCTTCGCCGCAGACGCTTTTGTAAACGAGAGCGTGCCTAGTCTTAAAGCGCTGCAGCCACCCACCTGAAGCCTGAAATCCGTCGATATGCAAAGCAAGTGCAAACTCGTCGGCTTTCTCCCGCAAAACTTTGCCATCGATATTTACGCCAGCTGCGGTTACTTCTTTAAACTAAGTCAGGAGAGTCTCTTCAAGTTTCACGTGCTGAGCGGTCTTCGCTTGCTTTGCGTTGACGTTGAACGAAAGCACGTTTTTCATTATGGTCTCTCGCTGTCCAACAACTGTGCTCAGTGTTGACGTTGCAAGGCCTAGCTCTTTAGCCAACTCCGCCCCCTTTCTCTTAGGATCCTCATCGACCTTTCGAAGGATGTATAATTTCTCCTTAAAGGAGAGCGCTTTTCGCTTGCGAGACATAGCTCGTTGCGACTAGGCAAAATGGCGCAAACACAAAGAACGCGGCCCGAAGCACAGCACTGCAGCCACTCCGTCCAAGGCCACGCAGAGAAAGAGGAAAAGCACAACAGCAACAAAAGCATCACTGCTCCAAACTCGTCGTGCCTTGCCCCGCGCAGTCCGTGGCGTCCGCGCCGCCGCACCCAAAAAGAGAGGGAGAAAGAAAACCGTGGCCAGCGCCATCTCTAAACCTAAACCGAAATCAAAGGGCGAAAGCGGTCTCTCAGGTCTCCGATATTGCGCACGCCGTGCGCCGATGTTGGAAGCAGCCACGCGCTGCTGGCAGGCACCGTTGGCAAAATGCCAAACCGGCAGTGCAGCGCACATTCCGGCGCACGACTGAGCGCTGTTCTATTTCGCGGCCGTCAGTGGGGCGGCGTTCATTCATATAAAACGACGCAGGCAGAAAATCGATTCGTAACCAACGTACTTTAGCGGATTGCAAAGTAATGGGGCTCGGCAGGGACCACAGAAAAATTCGTATCATCCGGAAATTCGTATTAGCCGTGATCGTATCATCGAGATTCCACTGTACACAGCACAGGTAGGCAACTCACATGTTTATGTTTACATGCATTTTTACACAGCACAGGTAGACAACTCACATGTTTACATTTACATGCATTTTTACGCAATTTTTTAAGACTTTTACCACTGCGAGTTTGCAAAATACAGTCGTATCTCGATAATTTGAACTCGTAGGGGCCCGAAAATTAGTTTGAAATAAAAGAAGTTCAAATTATTGAAAGCTAAATGAACAGAGGGCTCACCATGCAGTGGCGCATGTGCATTGAGCTAATACACGAGGGGGAAGTTTCAGAAGACTCACATTTCTTCACAAATCACAGGACATCTGTCATTAATTCAAGTAATCGGTTATGCATGTCTACACACACTTGCCTTGCAATGAGTCGATCAATTTTGCACACAGCTTGCAAAGTGAGCCTACTTCGGCTTCAGCATTTTTCTGGCAAGAGAAGTTGCACGTGGCAATGTCCAGCGCCGACACTCTCTAAAGACGACGACCACAACGCCTGCATCTCCACTACTACCTTCTGCACCAAAGCCGCAGCGTGTCCAACACGTGACGAGAAAGGAGGAGTGTCTCTATCCGGAGAGAAGCAGATTGGCATTTAAACAAAAAAACACTCCCCAGCAGCGTTTTTTTTTTCTCTCTTCGCGGGCAGCGTTGAAAGGAGAAGAGCCTTTACGTGGCAGGGACAGAAAAGGAAAAAGCGTGGCACAGGCGCGTCGCAAATAGGCATTTAAGAGAGAGTAAACATTCTTACGCAGCCTTTTCTTTCCTTTTTTTACCTTCTCGCACTGCATTAAGGTGTCGGAGATGCAGGCGCGGGATTGGTCATGATGCTGAGAGCATTTTCAGAGTGCCGTATGTTCGAATGAACCATCGCAAGTTCTTGCGCCTTCAAATGAATAGGCATTTTTGCCCGTTTCAGTTTCAGTTTATTGCTTTCTAAGCAAAACGCTACAACATCAACATATATACAGGCAAGGGTCCTATACAGGCAAGTTATATACAGGCAAGGGTCCCAAAGTAAGAAACTATGGTGGAACCCCTGGTTAATTAAACAAATACAGAACATAATGATTAATGCAGCAAGTGAACGGAATGTGGAGCAAGATGAAAACAAATGACATAAGGGGTCTACAATTATATCACTGGAACATCAAAAAGTGTACCGAAAGAGAACCAAGTGTACAAGTAAAGAAAAAAAAATTCGATTTCAAAAGAGATATGACATGAGACACTTAGTTCAGAGATATTGAAACACACATAGCTTTGACGGGACCCAAGCGCCAGTTCTATATAATTGTAAGTTAGAGTTAAGCGGGTTCGAATGAATGAGATTTGACTGTAATGAATGATTTTTAGAGACTGCTTGAGATTCGTTGCATCAATATTTCATATTATCTAGAGCTGCAAGTTACCACCAAAGATCTCCAAATGCACAATTTTTTGCGAGAATTCAGTTTTCGCTACCTACCTTTTCTGTTGCCATTTTGCATCGCCAATGGTGCTACTAGCTACAGCTGTCGGTTGCTACCAATTCCTTAAAGTTTTTTGCAGCTAGAATAAACTGGATCATGATGAAAATTTTCAAAACCTTTTTTGTTTCTATAAAAATCCCAATACGACTTGGAAGCTACATAAATAATTTTTTTTGTGAGCTCCCATTTCTGCTTGAAAACGTTATGAAGTGTGTCCAAAACTGCTGCTGTCACTCAAAATATTTTTCAAACAGCTCACCGTGAGGCTCAGCAGAACCAGCATGGCCAATGGGTAGCCCAGGTTTCTCCTCCAAGGTGATGCCAGCTGCTGCAGAGCTGCAGATGCAACCATGCATCAGTCATCGGAATACACTAAAAAACTATTTACTGACGCGACTCTTTGTAGCTGCACTAGGCGGTCTCCCCAAGGCAACATATTGAGAGGCAGACAACATAATGAGAGGCAGAGAAGCCTCCTCAAGTGCAGCACGAGCAGCGCTTGAGGAGGACAGAAGCCCGAGTGAAAGGACTCCTTTGGCGGTTGACGAGCTCTGTCGTCTACTAGAGTTCTGCGTCTCCAGTACGTACTTCTCCTACAAAAGAACTATTTTCAGGCAGAACAGTGGAACCACGATGGAAGCTTCCATCTCCGTCACGATGGTAAACCTGACCATGGAGTACATAGAAGTGAAAGCACTTGGCTCCTTCTAGCCGCGACCCAAGATTTTTCTGCGTTATATGGATGACTGCTTTTGCGTCATTAAAACGGCTGAAGTTACAAACTTCCGACAACACCCAAATTCCGTGCACCCAGCCATACAATTCACGACCGAGTGTGAAAGCGACCACTACCTGCCCTTTCTCGATGTCCAGGTGGCAAAAAAGCGCAACGGCCTGGAGTTCTCCGTTCATAGGAAGCCAATGCACACTGGCCGCTACCTTCAATTCGATTCTTCCCACCCCACCTGCCACAAGACCTCGGTTGTGACCACGCTACTCGAGAGAGCTAGGAATTTATGCTCTAATCACACCGAGCGAAAGAAAGAGGAAGCCCGCGTAATTGCTGACCTCAGAAAAAACGGATAGCCAAAAAACTTCATTCGAGCCGCCACCCGCTGCGCAGAGCAACAGAGGATACGAAAACCACAATCAGCCTTAATTATGAGCCCCCCGAAACGTGCACCGGTTCCATACGTTCCGGGAATCAGCGAGATCTAGGTGTGGACCTTCAAGGAGGGAGGGAGTTCGCATCGCACACATGCCTTCGTGTACGCTGGGTCGCCTCCTTCCCCGCCTGAAAGACCGGCCAACAATAGACAGGAGCCCCGGTGTCATTAACAAAATTCCGTGCGCTGAGTGCCCTTCGTCGTATATCGACGAGACGAAAAACCAACCGGAAGGACTGAAGCAACACGCCGACGATGTGCGGAAGTTCTACAAAGAGCGCAGCGCAGTTGCCGAACATGCTGAGACTTTGGATCACAAAATAAATTTCGAAGCGACGGCCATCCTTGCAAGTGAGCCGAACTGGAGGAGAAGGTTGTTACTCGAGTCGTGGCACATACAGAGGACAGCCCATAATATCAAGCGCTCTCTCAGAACCCCTCCCCCAGTGTATTCCCACGGACTGCGCTCCACGGCAAAACGAGGGAAAGAAAGAGGGGGTCATTAGCTACCCCGCGAGTGCTTTGAAAACCCCGCTGCTACGTAGCCTCCGCAGCCACCCTTGAAGAAGGAACCAAGTCGGTTCCGAAACGTCGGGTTTCTTCAAAACTTTTGGTTGGAGTCTGAATCATCTCCCAACAGGTCACTTGTACAACTGCAGCGGTAATCACAAAACTGAGAGTGGATGGCGTTTTAGATCCCAAAATCAAGATGTGATTGTGAGAGACACCATAGTGAATTTGGACTAACGTGCACCGATATCATACAGTATATCAGCGTTTACCATTTTTGCCTTCATTAAAATGCAACCATCGTGGCCGAAACAATACTTCTGAGTCAGCAGCTGAGAATACTAACCACTTTCCAGAAGAAAACAATGAAAGGCAGGACTTCGAATGAACACAAACCATGACACGGACTAACAACCAAATGTATTTAAATCTTTCAGCCCATAACCGTATTATAGACGTACATTTTTTTCCTGGTAAATCTGGTGGCAAGTTTGGGGTGCACCTATTACGAGGGAAAAAATTTCCGAGAACTTTATTTCCGACTACAGCATATAGTGCTGATCAACTGAGTCCCCGAAGTCACGACATCTGCACTATCATCAAAATAGCTCAAAACCTGTTGCCCATGCAGTCCCCGATGCGGTGTGCTTACATGCATTTAAATTTATCAAATTAACATTCACGAACTCGCCTTGCCAACTGAATCAATATGAAAAAAAAAACACGAAAAGAAAGCCCCATCGCAAACATTCGCTAAGTATGTTTCAGGCCACCTAGGTTATGCGCATTATCAGAATAAAAGTTTTGTGGGCTGAACGGCAGCAAATGTTCATTTCACGACCTCGCACCCCATATCCAGACATCACAAACAAATCTCGAACCACCATTCGAGTGTTACAAGTGCCATCTTTGCCCTCTCTCCTTTAAGTACAGCCACCATAAAGAGATTCTGTACAAAACCGCAACAGCTAGTAATTGCCTGCGACTGCTACCGAAAAGCTCATTAGGCTAGTCTATGATTCAGCATGTTGTCGCGAGAAGTTTGTACAGAACAACATGAAGATTGGGCGTCAAAAAGATGTACTCAAGCACTGATCCAAGAGAAGCATGCGTGATTCGATGTTTAGGTTCGCGGTCGGGAAATCAACGACGAAAAAAGTCTGCCGAGCTTGTGCAAGCCTGCTTTGTGGCAGCGAAAGGGAAAGCTCATGACGGAAAGCTGAAAGTCTCGTAAATTTGCGAAGTATCAAAGACGATAAAGACGACACTTTTTCTGACAGGAACCTCACAGTGCGCTTGATGAGGACGCCATCACACGTTACAAGCACAGCGTGCACGGCCGAAACCACGCCGGCTTGCTCCAGTTAATTGAAAGGGTGTCGAATTGGAACCATGCAACTACAGTACAGAACTACTGATCACGGCCAAGTTCCGGTCACACAGAAATAGAAAAACCCCGATTTCTCGGGACCAAACTGAAGATGCACCTATTATGCGAGTTGACCCGGTACATACTTCACTATAAAAAAAAAAAAAAAAACGGATTATTCCCCTGCGCCGAGGCAAACAAATAAATAATGGGACAGAAATTCTAACTCCTTTCGAAAGAGGGAAATTAAGGGGAGGATGACAGATGCCTCCCCGCATAATAAATACGATACATTTAAGACAGGAGCTGAATGTGTTCATGATCATATTTTGACAGGAAATTGTGGGCATTATTATGTTGGTCGAATGAAGTGGGGTACTAATGATCGCATGTGAAATAAGGATCAAAAACAAGCTAGAGATAGTGAACTGTTTCTTCATTGTAATGATTACGATTGCCAGCTATTTTGAAAAATTCTACTTTCTTCTCAAACTACCATGATAAATGCACAAATCTGATTTCTGAGGAGTAACCTATCTATAACGGTGCATGCATTAGCCTTGTGTCGATTTTCCTCCTTCTGAAGGTGCATTTTTTTTTTCCTCTACGCAGGCTACAGGCTACTTAATCTACTTAATCATTACTTTTTCTGCTATTACGTGGTGGCGTACCTATGAGAACTGAAAGAATAAAAAACACTTGGTAGTCAGTGCTGTGCTTTTTTCTTCCCCTCCTTTTAAGGCTCATACACACTGAGTGTGGAGCGGCCAAAGTGGCGAGGCGGCAACGCAGAAAGTGGGAAACCTCCTCTCTGGGCGTTGAAAGCGAGAGAAAAACCTGGTGGAAAGGCCCATCGCTCCCCGACCAATTTTTTGCTGCCCGTCGAAGCTCACCGCTTTGCTGCAGCCAATCAGAACACCCCGCTGTAGAGGCGCTATGGTGTGCATTTGAGAGACGCATTGCCACGTAATAGCGACACATGAAGAAGAGCGCAAGATGCCAGCGTTTTCTGCCACGCGGCCAGCCGAAGTAGGCGTGCAGTCTGAATTGGTTCACGCACTCGCCACCTTGCTGCTTCGAAAAGCTCACTTGGTTGCTTTGCCGCGCCACCTTCAACGTGAAACTCACCAGCCAACCAGCCCGAAATCGTTACCTATCATAGGACTGGATGCAGCAGAGAAGCCTGCTCAGACTGGCGGCAGAAAAATTATGCATTCTGGCAAGCTTTCCCAGCTCTAGCTGTAGACCCAAGCTAGTAAAACAACCCCTAAATCTATATGAAGATCTCTACAAGTGCACCACATATATTTGCCGGTATGCATATATTTATGACTAAAGCAATGTCACTAGATGCAAGATGAATGAAAGAAGGATAGAAAGGGCTCATTTTTTGTTAAATAAAACCTAATCAATGCTACCGAAGATACTCCCACAATGCCATTCATACAAATACAAAAACGTGGAAGGAAAAACAACTGCCGCTGTAGTTTGACTGCGACATTATAATGCAAAAGTCGCAGGTGCGGTCCCTGTACCAGCGGCAAAGTTGTTTCGTCATCCACTCCTTCATAAAGTTTAATACGATAAAAAGTATAGGCCAACCAGGTTTAACTGCCCCCTGAATAAAGGAAAGTACAGCCTACAGGTCTTTTTCTGGAGTTTCGATTTTGTTGCTCGAGGGGCAGCCACAATAGGGCGTATGATGTTCTCATGAGTGGATAGCGAGATGCAGCCCAAAACACACAAACAGCGCTTTTGTAGTTGGAAGCGGCTGTAATGAACAGGGTCTCTCGGTTCCTAGAGGTGTTCCAGCTTTAAAGGTTGCATTTGACAGTTTCAGTAAAGTATTGTTCATGCACCCCTCAGCAGAAATGCAGAGTGCCATGCCAGTACAGGAAAGTGCACAGTACTCACGTTTCTTCTGTGGAGATAGGTTTGCTAATGGCTTACCCTACAAAGCGACCAGGAAGGGATGCGACAATCTTGACTGCTGTTACGCACGAAAACGCAACAGCTGGGTTCGTCGACTCTTCGACACGGCGCAGAGATGGCACTCAAGGCAGGTTGTCAACAAACACGGGTTTATTTACCCAAGATACAGCATAGCGTGACAATCATAGGCTTATGGGCTGGCTGAGAACTCCGCAAGACCGACCGAGTGTACGCTTGCCGGCAGGCACTAAAGCTATCACACAAAGGGCGGCAGCCGAGCACGCATATGAGAAGTCGCCTGCTAAAACAGCGAGTCCACCTCTCGTGCAGGCCAGTGTGTATCTGCTCGGCGGCGGTTA